GAGGAGCATCAAAAAGACGAAATCGATCCGATAGGAAGGGAGAAGCGCCTCCGGGAGCGGGGGGTTCGGCACCCCACGCCGCCAGTGCTCAAGAAGCTCGTGCAGGCACGTCATGGAAAGGTCATGGGGGTTGAGGAGGGTGAGGTAGCGGTAGGGCGTCGCCACGAGCGCGACCAGGATGAGATCGGAATCGTTCCCGACAATCGTGATCGAATCCTCCGGGGAATAAACCCCTTCCCGGACCCCATCTTGCCAGATCTGACGGATGCAACGGCTGATCTTCAGCTCCCCCTCGCCGGGTTCGGTGCACCGGCAGATCCGTCGGGTTCGCCACGTCACCAGGGCGTCCTGCCGCGTCTCCAACTCGCGCAAAATGCCCTCGAGGAATTCCTCACAGGCGTAGACGAACTCGGAGCCGGAGCTGATCTCCTCACGGCGTAAGGGGATATCCGAGCCGGTGAGATCGCAACTGAAAGAAGCCGCGGCGGATGACGACGAGGATGCGAAGGGAGGGGGTGGGTGAGGTGCCAGACGTCGCCGTCGCCCTTTTTGCGTCGGAATCTTCGAGATCGGCGCGACGCCGTCAAAGACGAGCACGAGCGTCGTCGTCGGCTTCACATGACGCAGTATCCTCAACACCAGGCGGTGAAAGCTCTGTAACGTGGCTCGGGTCGTCTCCTTCGGCGTTTGGGTGTAGGCGACGTGCAGGATGGCATTCATATCCATTAGCAGGTGGTTGGGCTGGAGCGCGAAGGAAAAGTGGGAGGAATCCGTCTTTTTGGGTGCATTATATATTATATTGTGGTGTTCAATGTACTTCCATAGCTCCCTGACGCCCATTTCAAGAACAAAGCTTTCTTGGTCTTCCTTCTTGATGGGTTTCCTGGGGGGTGGGTTCTCCAAATCCTCAAAAGGTAGCCTTTCGGGCGAATGACAGAATGGGAAAAAAAAAGGAAAGACATGCTCAAGCAGGTGATAAAAGTGTGGTGATGTTAATCCACTCTTCGATTCGCACTCTCGATAAATTGGATTTGCATTTACTCACGTATACTTGCTTGTTCATGCAACCAACATGCAGAAGAGACGATGTGTAGTTCCTTCCTAGCAGTGAAAAGTGTCATATTTTGTTGTTTGCTCATTTCTTCCATCTCGCCAGTTTCTTCTTGAGCATCCAGCTTACGCCTACCTATTTAACAAGCGATAAATGCTTTTACTACACATACATATAAGAAAAAGGCTTCACAATCTATGAGACCCAATCAACGCATCATGGATGCCCTTTTCCACGATTGACGTGATGTAGGGCTTCATAAGTGTATACAACAAGTCGAGCTTGGTCACGCTGTTTGATAATTTGAGCGATTTTACAGATACTGACGCCTCCTCAATGAGGATTTCCGGGAAGTCCTTAAATGCAATTAACACTTTGGCGCGGAGTTTAATATTAACGTCGCGCATCTTAACTTTGAGCTCGCCGTTTGTAACTCCCTTTGTATAGGCAAAAACTTTGTACCCGTGGGAGTGAATGCTATTCATCTGTCTGTTTTGCCTGCTTGCATTGGATTCTCCAATGAAAGCAAATTGTATGGGATGGAAGAGAAGTTTGCTAATAAAAATCCTCACCTCAAGACACACACCATTGTCGACAAACTGACAGCTGCTCTTGCTTTGATCAAACAACAGTTCCTTAATCTTAAATTCGCTTGTTGAGAGAAGCTTGGGTCCTAGAAATGGAACGTAGACGGAAATTTCCTCTAACGGCGACACTAACCTCCATCCGGGGACCTCCTGGGCGAGGAGGAGCAACAAAGCGTGCATGATGTCGTCGATCTGCTCCACAAACAACGGACAGCGGGTGAACACCTCCTTAACCAGATCACAACTGTTCTCACCGCGGAACACGTTCGAGAAGTTCCCCAGCAGGAATGTTATAGCTTTCCAGCGATTTTTCTCCTCGATGAGAAACCTAACGTTTTCAGAGCCCTGCGATAAGATGACATCCAAAATATCCATCTCGCCGTGCTCGCGTTGGGTGATGGGGAAAGATACGTTTTTGCTTGAAGCCACCCTGAGGGCGCCCGGCTTCATGCCCGCCGTGGGGTCACTGGGCGAAGGCGGTATTTTCGGATTTGCCTCAAACCTCGGGGAATTTAAAGGACGATTACCCTGCGAATCCTCCGACTTAAAATCGTGGAGCTCCGAGATCGGTGAGGATGACTGAGTTTTTCCAGGTAACTTGGTGTTAGCTTGCTTTTCCCGAGGTGATCGGGCGCGGAAGGGTGTAATATGATTATCCTCTTTATGCAAAGTGGATGGTTGAGTTTCATGTCGATGAGATGCCCCCTCTTCTTGACTGAACGTCATCGAATACCGCGAGCCCTCACCCTCATCCGCACCGTTGCTGCTAAAGGTCTCATTAGGGATTATAGGGCAAAACAACTCAGGAGTTTCCATCGCGTCGAACTTCTCAGAATCCCTACCGGTATCCTTTGGGGGTTTAATACTAACAGTCTCCAACGGATAAGTTTTAGAATAATCATTTAGCGAGAACAACCTGTCCAAAATGTCGGTCTCCGTTCGCTGGGGGAGATTTTGAGCAGAAAATCCCACACTTGAGAATCCGGCGAGCCATCGAATAATAGGCGCCTTCGGGGCCCCCTCGAAACGCGAGGAGGGCCTTTGGCCTGAACTCCCTGCCACGGTTTGCAAATTAGCGCGCGAGGGCTGAGAGGGCATATTGAAAGAGGTCCAGTTCGGAGGCAACGTCGAGCTCGACCCCGGCATCTCTTCATCGGCGAGGGTGAGTCGCTGACGGAGCGCATCCTGCAGCAGACGCGGCTTCAACAGCACCTCCCGATCCCACTCCGACGTATCGACGGGGAAGACGCGCACGGTGTAGTTGTAATCTCGCGTCAAGGAAAGGTTGGAAAAGTAACCGTTCCGGAAGATCTCCCGCGCGCGATTGGTTAACAAAAGATCGACGCCCTCAAAGGGATTGACTCGCGAGGACGAGTTCCCCTCGTCCTCCGTGTTCAGTTTGGAAGACCATTGCTCCTTCAGGCAGTTAATGCCGGAAATATCTGGGTTATGTGCGTCGTAGAGGCACCGCACCGCCTTTTCAATGTCGTCGGTGCTGAGTAAAACGGCGGAAAGCTGCGCGGGCGTCGCGTACGGACATACGGCTTGAAGATAGGCAAACATGCCTTCTTTCATACGACTCTTGTCGCCAGCGCCCGCGCACTGGCTGACATTTGGTTTCTCAGCAGCCCCATCTACAGGCATGCACGCAATATGGTGAAGGGCTGCCGCGTCACGTTTCTTCGCCGTGGATGCCGCGAAGCAATGACTACACAATCTCAGGAGCCAACAGAAAAACAACCGCTAATAGCGATAATCACAAAATGGTTATGGACAAAAGGAATCAACCAGTACCCAAGCGTCTTGACGTCTACCTATGTGTTTGTATAAAGCCTTGAAATCAAAAGAAGTAGAATGCAAAGTCGGAGGAGACTGAAGTGATCCTTCGCCCAACGCGCTTGGAATAATATATTTTTTAAAATAAAAATGTTTTGTACCCCACATACATCATTTTCATTAAAAAAAATATTTGCTTAGATGTTTTTTTTGTTAAACATGTTGTGCAGAACCTCAAGGGAGTAACGGACTCACGCAGGGTTGCATCACATAATCACGATAGAAAGGAACACAATGCGGTTATTATAAGGATACTCACCGATGAACCTTAGAAACGGAGCGGAAATAGTAAATAGATAACGTTAGCATAAAGCAATACACAAAAGGGGGGGAGTAGTCACAGTGAATAATTGTTAAAAAGAAAAAGGATAAAAAGGATAAAAATAGCAAGATTTCTGCAATAATTAAACGAACACGATCAATGTACAGGGTGAAATAAAGGTAAATAACCACTGGGGGACCTCGTTTTTCGACCATTATCCACCACTAGTGCATTTCTTGCATGCACCAGGCTAAATTCAAGGAGCTCAAGAATGCACGCGATCCCATCTATGGTTTGCACAACACCCATCTTCTTGCCCGCGGCAAGCCTCGGGATCACTTTCGCCCATTCCGTCATCGTCAATCGCGCCTGTGACGACGACACGCCGCGAATGCACCTCGAAAGAAGAAGCCGATCCACCATCAGCTCCGAATGCGTCATCTGACGGGAGCGGCTTCCCTCATAAACGCCAATCAGATCCAATAGAAGCAGATGCACGAGCGTGCACAAAAGAGAAGACTGCAGGGGGGCCGTTACGTGAGCCCCCGGGTGAAAGTCCTCCACCGCGCGCGCGAGAGACCCTCCGATGAAGCCGTGAAGCAAGTTGTAATAAGGGGTGAAAACAGAGATCTTACCGCCCCCCTCCGGTTCATCTTCATTCACCCAACCGATCCGCGCGACGTCGGCGAAGAAGCGCTCTAAAAACGCACGCCGGGAGATTTGCGACGGGGGAAACTCATCGTACGGGAGGCCGCGACGCAGCTCGTCAAACACGCTGGAAAAAGTGGATTGGAGGTCGTGAAGAAACCTCCTCAACGAGGCCGCCTCTCCGTTCAACCCCTCGCCCGGCAAGACGAGGATGACGTTGATCGCCTGAAGCCACCGCTCGTAAGCCGCGCGGCGCCGCGTGGTGAATGGGAGGCGGGTGGCGAGCGCTCGGGTGAAAAAAAGGAAATCGGGCGATGAAATCGCCTTGGGGATCGTTTCCACCCCGCCCGATGGCAACCCCGCGATCCGCGCGAAGACGAACGGCAGCACGGCCTCCTCCAAGAGCTCGGAGGGCCCTCCCGAAAGAAGCTGGAGGGTGCGATGCACGGCGATCGCCGTCAGCCTCGACGCGCTCGAGACTTCGCTTCCCCCTGCCGCGTGGAGGGCCGCGCGGAGAAACCGCCGCCGGAGGCGATCCCACCGACCAAAGGGCGGAAGAACCCCTCCCCGCTCGGTTGCCACCCCCCCCTTCCCTTCCTCCCCGTCGTCGGGATCGCGAGTTGGATCCCCT